GGGCACATCTAATTTTGGTGTGGGAGTGTCGGATGATGGGTGCATGGAGAGGTGCTGGGTATCTGAGTGTGTATTAGTGTGTAGTTGGATGTGATCGTCTCTGGATGTGAATATACAGCTCAAAATTTAGTATTAAAATAATATTGGATTACCCTTTGTATTATTTTATACGTGTATATTTTTTGTTTGTTTAGTTTTTCATCAAAAACTGATGAGACTCTGAAAACCGTAATGAAGAGGTGGATGGGGTAGGATTAAAAAAGTTTTACTTCTTCCTACCCCTTTTTCAGATATGGGGTTTATGTGCTTGGTGTAAGTATTTAGTTAGGTGTACACAGATATGTGTGTACACATTGGGTGGATATTTATTTTATGGGTTTATTTATTTGTGTATATTTAGTCTGAGTGGTTTCATTTTAGGGAGATCAACAGGCAGATTGGTGCTGCGTCTGCAGTGATGRGGGCGCTGTACCMGTCCGTCGTGGTGAAGCGGGAGCTGAGCCAGAAGGAAAAGCTCTCGGTTTACCCGTCGGTCTACGTTCCTACCCTCATCTATGGTCACGAACTTTGGGTAGTGACCGAAAGAACGAGATTGCGGATACAAGCGGCCGAAATGAGTTTCCTTCGCAGGGCGTCTGGGTTCTTCCTTAGAAATAGGGTGAGAAGCTCAGTCAGCCGGGACGGACTCAGAGTAGAGGCGCTGCTCCTCSACGTCGAGAGGAGCCAGTTGAGGTGGCTTGGGCATCTGGCTAGGATGCCTCCTGGACGTCTCCCTGGTGAGGTGTTCCGGGCACGTCCCACTGGGAGGAGACCCAGGACACACTGGAGGGACTATGTTTCTCGGCTGGCCTGGGAACGCCTTGGGATTCCCCTGGACAAGCTGGTTCAAATGGCTGGGGAGAGGYAAGTCTGGGTCTCTGCTCAGGCTGCTGCGACCCGATCCCGGATAAGCAGCAGAAAGCCGTCGGACGGTTTCATTTTATTATTTTTTATTTTACAAGAGGCTTTGGTTGTCTAAAAAATGTGTAGATATGTGAAAGGGTATATTGAGATATACACTCACCGGCCACTTTATTAGGTACACCTGTCCAACTG